TTTTTACTTGTTAAGGATTAAAAAATTAATTAAAGCTTAAGTTTTACAGTATTCTCAAATAACTTGTGTCATTATATATATTATATATCTGACATTTGGCAACATTGGTAATATTCATTATAAATGTATGTTTTTTCAGTAAAATTTCAAAAGCTGAAGTAGGAACCTGGTGTTTCGCTCAAATAATGTGTGATTCTCATTCTGGCATTTGGCAACATATAACGTTGATCTTCAATTTTGAAATAATCCAAATAATCCAAGAAAAGAGGTACCCACGATAACTCTTAGTAGAGACTTAGGAAACAAGACTCCAGGAGCAATTAAAGCCATATGAAGCCATTTCTTGATTAAAACTCAATAACAAACACCTTTAACTGATAATAATAGCAATACAGCTGCTGTATATATGAATTCCAAACACTAGCACACACGAAATTGTGACGTCTTCCCGTGGCGAATCATCACGTTTTTGTGCACTGTTTCTTGCGAAATGAAAATTCTAGAGCTGCATGATTCATTATGTATGCATGCGGTGTATATAGATCACAGCTGGTCATTAAAGTGCCCCTCACCCTTAACTCAATATTTTTAGTATAATCGATTCCATATGAAGTCCTGAAACAGGTGAATGGTCAAATACTTTTATATGGTTTGAGTCCGTCGTAGTTTCAGTCGTAAATAAAGTCTTAGACTGAGTTTGCAAAATAGTCTTTAGGCAGATGTGAGCAGCATTAAAATAAAAGACTGATAATGTTTATAGTAAAAAAAAAAAAATCAGTGCTGTTAATGTTAAAAGAACAAAAGAAATTACGAAAGGGATACTGGTATAGTGGGAGTCAAACGACGCCATCCAGCATGCAAAACGTCCTTTTTGGAACAAATGAATCAGCAGAGAAAATTTAAGGAAGCGGGAATATTGCTCGAGGCAAACGAGTGACGTATAACCCATTTCAAAAAAAAAAAATTTATATAGGCAATAGACGAAAAGCAATAGGAGATAGTTCATTCAAAGATCCAAGAATAGCTGGAATGACTTGTGTTTCTGCTTCTTATTCTCATAAAGAACATGGTCCTTTGTATCTATTATTTCTTGGGCGTACTCGCCGGCATGTGATGTGTAAAATAATGTGGCCGAGGGAGACTGAGCGAACGCGCGTCTTCTCTCCTTACAGGGCGGGAGGAGGGAGGGCCTTGAAACGGGCACACATATATTGGCCGATCCGTGATGCGGAGAGTAGGACTGGGCACTACTCTGACTGCCAACAATATGGCAGACTGTTTGTGGAGGAAGTTCGGCTGACAAGATCTTTCAAAGGTAAATTTACGCTTGTTTATCTTTGTTTCTAGCCAATACAATTTTATTGGTGTTAGAGAACACCCAAAACATGATAAGAGTTTTCATTACGAAGAATTCGCTGGGTTTTGTACTCAAAGAACCATTTTAATAAGCGACTGCCTATGATGTTTACGCTGAATTTTATATAGCAAATGCGGGCGCAGAGCATTTTTGGCTATGTTACAATGTTTTCCAAAACCTAGTTTATATTTTTTTGAAATGTTTATATAGTGTTTTACTTATGTGAAAAAAAATCAGAGCAAATTTGAGCAAGATTAGTTTTTTGACAAACAGTCCGTCATTGTTGACAGTCAGAGTAGTGCCCAGTCCTACTCTCCGCATCACGGATCGGCCAATTGATGTGTGCCCGTTTCAACGCCCTCCCTCCCCCCGCCCTGCTCCTTATTTAGACAATTCTTCCCGCTTGCTTTATCATAATCCCTACCACAGAAGATATAACAAAAGAAGAAAGACCCTTCCAAGGATTATAGATACTTATAATTCAAGTTTGTGTGGGCGTATGTGTGTCGGTGTGATTTAAAATTTGCTATTGCGCTGGTACAAGCTGAAATATATATTTCCTAAAAATAAAACTCAGCCCACAATCTTAGAGATATTTTCTTCCAATTTAATGCCTTTTGTAGAACTGTTTATTGCCGCTACATTTTTACAAGCAGTTATCTTAACGTATCTAGAGATACTGATTTTACAGTTAATTAACACAGCTTATGGCAATAACAATAACTCGGTAAATGTATCTATTTGTCTGTCCTTGATGACTTTACATTCAGTGTAGTCGACATTTTTGTGTCAAGGTGTCTAGTTCTAATTACGACTGTCTAAAAATCGTTTGAGCTTTCTAAGCATGCGCTCTTCGACCTCGTAATCAACCCCAAGACCGTTTTCTTCCTGAGGAGTAAAACAAAACAAGTGCGTTAGGATAATACAGTCAAAAAATTAAAACAAATTGTAAAATTTATGATCCTAATACTCCAATTTACATAATAATAGTTCCAAGTTCCAATAAATCCAAGAGGTTGGATTTGCCGCGCATGATAAAAAGTATAATTTTGCTAGGCGCACGACTCCAATTTCGACTTGGAACTCGTATTATTCGTAGTCACCGAACGGAACTGTAAAATAGAGTATTGTCCTATTTCACTATGACGCCACAGCTTGTTTACAAGTGGACTGAGAAGGTGAAAGACATTACAAATTTCGATTCAAATTTTTCATGAACAGGTGTTTGTCCTTAAATATATACGGTATTTGGTGGCTATGAATGCTTTTCTAAGTTTTAAAATTTCCAATTTTTCAGTTTTTCAGACTCGTACCCAGTCGCTTCTCTTGTCTCTTATTGATTTAACTCTGTGGTTTATGGGAAGAGTCGTCACTTTTTGTCTCTCCTTCCCGAAAGCCATCGCGCGCATTAAAAAAGCGTGAGTGACGACTGGGTACGAGTCTGACACTTTTTTTTTTTTTGTGGTGCTGGCTGTTTTGTTCACCTCTCATGACCATAATCCTTGAAACAAAATATTTTTATAAGACGTCATAATGAAATAGGACAGTTCACAAATCAAGTCGTAACTGGATAAGGAAAGGAATAATATAACGTGTTAACATGGGCATCCAGTTGCAAGGGGAGTGGGGAGGAGAGAGGGGGAAGGTTGGTCAGTTGATGCCGGGATGGTCTGAAAGAGAGAGGTACAAAAGGAGGAGTGATAAAGAGAAAGAGTGATGCAAGGACAAGTGGGTGAAAATTAGACCATGCACTAGAGCCAGGAAGAGAATTAAAAGAAGCAGATACGTTAACTCACCGTCGTCTGTCGTTTCCTTAGCATTGATTCTCTGGTATCTTTTACGTCCACTGCATCTTGATTTGGCTGAAAACAGTGAAAATATATTTAATTTACTATTTATTTTTATTGAAAAAAATGTCAGTTTTATATTTTATGTAAGGCTTTTTCTCCTGCGTCACGCGTTATGAGCCGAAGCGTCGTCTTTATACGAAATTAAATAATATTGAGTTATTTTTTTTCATTCCTGGTGCTCACTTTGATCTAATCTTGACCTTTTAAAGTGGTCACGTGACATGCTAGTGAACTTCATTAACATATATGTCTTATCTAGCAATCTGATTATCATCATACAGTCAATTCAAAAAACGTTGTCGTTAACCGGCTCAAGCCTACGCGACTGGACCGAAAGGAATATGGGTAAAAACCACTGAAGCGGTTAAATATTCGTTCTGAATTAATTGTTCCCGCTAGTAATAAGATAATAATGGCGAGAAACAATCCATCAAATGTATGTCTTTGGGTTTAGCGAAAGAAAAAAAAGGTAGTTGTGATTCAGTTCACAATTCCGAAAATATGAAGGCATTAAAAAACCGTCTCCTTCATAACTTTCCGCTCACCTACGAAGGTTCGTGTCGCAAACCAGGCATAACTAGTCAGATAAAACTATGGAGTCAACTCGGCTTCAATGATTACTACCCAGAGTTCCTTTCGGTCTAGTCGCGTAGGCTTGAGTTGGTCGGCGATAAAATTTTTTGAATTGACTGTATATCGTAGGACAAAATGGTTTCCATTTTTACTTTAACCAATCACAGTGCGAGAAAGCGTAAACCATTCATATAATTAGAATATTTGATTTCAAAAGCCGTTGAACATAATGTGCTTGCGATTCAGTTTTCCGCATGTTTTTGTGCACGCTAATGCTGATATATTTTTTAAATTCTTAATTACTACGTCAAAAACTACTTTTGTGCCTTATTACTTTTGTGTTTCACATAAAAACATCTCAGTACACGAAGGACAAATATAATACTAATTTTTTGGGGGAAACTTCAATTAATAAGTTGATAAAATGCTATAGAATGGGATAATAAATGAACCTAGACAAATGACTTTGAAAACCTATTTTACATTATTTTAACAATGGTTTACTTAAAGTGTATATGACACGAAAACATTCCATCATTTAAAATGTATAGTTTGTTAGTAATAATAAATATATCGTAACAAAATTTGTTTCAAAAGCTTATTTCTTGAGATATTTGCGAAAGTTAATCCCAATTTGTGACGTCATTTTGTTGACACGTACTCTAGATTCAGTAGTATTGTACTAAATATAAATTGTAATTCATATGAATTAACAACAAAAGACATATTTTAGTCAGCTTCATTTGATAGCTTACGTAGTACTCTTCCAATGTTTGGAAACTGAAAAGTGTACTACTTGAAATTAAGATTCTATATTCAAACATATTTCATGTATTTGCAACTAAATCTGGAGACTTGTAAACAAAATGACGT